CCGATGTCACAACAGTACAAATTGCAACATTAAGTGTCCCTTATGTGACATCATTTTAGTGTCTACTGACAGACAACAAATTACTGTATAGTGGTGCGAGTGGTTAAAACAGGTGATCATTCCAGGTGGCCTTTGGTCCCATGTCAGTGAAACTAATTAGCTATTCACTTTCACTTACTAGTCAACTATTTAAACATTTAAATTTTAACAGTAACATATACGTTCACTTTTTGAACCTAACTCATTAACTTTTGCTGTGATACTTTGCATCATATTTACATTGATGACATTAATGATTAGATTATTCTCAAAAACTTTTCTACACTACTTATCTTATTAACCCTCTTAATTAATTAATACATGTTACTGTTAGTACTGTGTTAGTGGAATGCCACCGAATTGTACATATACTAGCTCTGTTACTAAATAATAGTATTAGTACTACTATTAGAATTTAGTATTATACTAGTACTATAATACTAAATACTTTTAGTAATACTAACAGTAATAGAAGTAGACTATTATTAGTAGTATTACTTATATTGTAATATTATCGTACCACGAAAGTATATCAATAATTATAAATATAATTATTTTTCTCAAAGTGTTATTAGTAGTACTATATAAAAGCAAAACAATACAGCGTTAATATGAACTACTAACATTGAAACGTTTAGGCCTACATAATTTATAAACAATCACTATTTTCACCTTCTTTTGTACACCATCTGCCAGAATAATATTTTCTTTGCACAAATGTTTCTAATTTTACCGCTAGAGGAAGACTACGTGGAAAAATCTAAATATTTATTATGCATTTTATAATAATATCAAATACGAACATACAATTATGCAAACGTACTTTCCGGTTTGTTTGAAGCCATAACGTGTTATCGTGTAGAATACCCATCGCAAATTATACATTTTTTTAAATGAAAATTATTAATAATATTTTTACTAGAAGCAAACAACATTTTTATACAACATTAACACTATAGTACTGATGTTATGAATGAAAATTCTTACCCAGATTTAATCAACTAACTTTAAAAGGTAACAAGTTAAATACCACAAGAATCAATGAAAAATAAACAAATCAAAATAAACGAATAAAATAATAAATAACAATAAATTCAAATTTTGTCAAACATTACATTTCTTGCAATCAACGGGATTATAGCAAAACATTTTAGAGAATTTTATTTATATTTTTTCCTCATCAGAACGTAAATATCAGTGAATAAAAGATCATGTAGAGGCCTAATATATTCTTTTATTTATTACTTGTACTGCTACTGTAATAGACTAGTTTCACCAAGTTCACATTTCATCTGTACTGCTTGGAAGAGAAAAACAAATAAATAATGGAAACTTCATATGAAGCATAACATAATTCGATGACGAGGATCCCACTTTGAGACTAATAATGGTTGGAGACGGCTT